TCTTACCGCTGCCAGTGGGGCCCGGCAGCAGCAGCACGTCATCTGTGCTGCTGCAACGCTGCTGCCGCTGCTGCTGCTGCTGTTGCTGCTGCTGCTGCTGCTGCTGCTGCTGCTGCTGCTGCTGCAGCTGCTGCTGCCACAGGAGAGCACGCTGCTGCAGCGGCGAGAGACAAACGATGCCGCTGCGCTGCAGAGACCTCCGCAGGGGGGGATACAGCAGCAGCATAGAATCTGCTGCTCTGCTGCTGCTGCTCTTGCTGCTGCTGCTGCTGCTGCTGCTGCTGCTGTGAATGCCTGCAGCGTCAGGGCCATCCCCTGTTCTAGACTCGGTAGCCTGCTGCTCCTGTTGCAGTTCTTGCTGCTGCTGCTGCTGCTCATTCTGCTGCTGCTGCTGCTGCTGCTCCTCTTGCTTCTCCTGCTCCTGCTGCTCTTGCTGCTGCTGCTGTTGCTGCTGCTGCTGCTGCTGCTGCTGCTGTGTGAGCCCGAATGCCTCTGGCGAGATGTAAGGCAACGTATTCAAATCCACCACCCCATCTATCCGCACCTGCTGCTGCTGCTGCTGCTGCTGCTGCTGCTTCTGCTGCTGCTGCTGCTCCTGCTGCTGCTGCTGCTGCTGCTGCTGCTGCTGCAGGTGCTGCTGCTGCTGCTGCTGCTGCTGCTGCTGGGGGATGGAGAGGATCCCGGGGACGAGTACTTGCAGCTGTTTTCCTGCTGCTGTTGCAGCAGCCACAGCAGCAGCAGCATCAGCAGCAGCTGCAGCAGCAGCAGCAGCAGCTGTTGTTTGGTCGTCGAGCTGCTGCTGCTTTTTCGTGCTGCTGCGAATGGCTTTGCTGCCATAGCTGCAGCTGCGTTTACCTGAGGAAGTGTTTTGCTGCTGCTGCTGCTGCTTCTGCTGCTGCTGCTTCTGCTGCTGCTGCTGCGGCTGTTCCTTTCTTTGTTTCCCATGCTGCTGCTGCTGCTGCTGCTGCCGCTGCTGCTGCTGCTGCTGCTGCTGCTGACGATGCGTGTGTGGTTCACCTGTCATGAAAGCGTGCTGCTGCTGCAGCTCCTGCTGCAGCATCTGCTGCAGTTGCTGCTCCGTTTGCTGCTGCGTTTGCTGCTGCAGCATCTGCTGCTGCTGCAGCTGCTGCCGGCGGGCCCTCCGCGTTTCTCCACCCTGCAGCAGCTGCAGCGCCATTGCCTCGAAGGACTTGCTGCTGCTGCTGCTGCTGTTGCTGCTCCTGCGGCTGCTGCTGCTTCTGCGGGTTGGTGCTGCTACTCGCAGCTGTTTGCGCAGCTGCTGCTGCTGCTGCTGCTGCCACAGCAGCAGCTCCTGACGACGCACCTGTTCTGCGGGTAGGTGTCGCCGCTTGACCCTCTTCCGTTGCTGCTGCTGCTGCTGCTGCTGCTGCTGCTGCATGGTCAAGTTCCACGGGCCCCCAGCAGCAGCAGCAGCAGCAGCAGCAGACGGCAAGACATAAGCCCAAGTACCTGTAGAACCGGTGAGCAGCAGCAGCAGCAACAGCAGCAGCAGCAGCAGCAACAGCAGCAGCAGACGGGTGCATGCAGCCTGC